ATATAATGTAGAATCCAAGAGTCATATGTAACCCTAATTCTTACACTTAGGCTTATGATCCATAATCCATATGGACTAACTCTTCATGGAATCTTACATAAACTTAGCCCATCATGGATCAATAGCCCAAACCATATGTATCACTGATTTACATAATCAGTCCCCATTAATTTAATTAATCTCTTTTGATCACTAAATTAATTCCAGACTAATTCTTGATCAAAACTAATTAAATAATATGATTTCGCAATTAATATATTATACTTATAATATATTAATAAATCACAAATAACCTCTTTCTCAAATATCCATCCTATCAGATTGTTCTGGTGAATGCAACCCAAAATTGACCATGCTACTCCCAGGTCAAGTACATACCAATTATAGTTATGGGCTTAGACACCTAATCCAACATAAACGATGGAAAAGAGTTTTGTTGTTAATAGCGAAACAGATATTATGAAGATGTGAAGCCATATGAAGGGCTTTAAACAAAAATTTTGATGGGAGGTAGGTATGAAAAAAGAGGATGCGAATGCTATTGTTTATGAAGTAGAGCATATGTTTAGAGTTTCCATTCTGTGGAGAGGTGTGAGGGAATGAGAAACGGAAGTGGATATTGTAAGTGAAAAGAAAGAGTGGAATTGAGAATTATTGAATTTATAACCATTGTCACTGAAACTATTCATGGAATTGTTTTAATTTAGTAAAGACATTGGATTTATGATGAAGATAATATACTCATAAAAATGAGAATACCGATCTAAGAAAATAACATAGTATTTAAAGTTATCATGACTAGAAATTGGTGATGTCGAAGCATCAAAATGTATAATATCAAACAAACAAGAAAATATACAATTAGATTCGTAAAAAGGAAGCCTAGTTGATTTGCCTAGTTTACATGCTTGGCCAACAAGCCGAGACTTTTCATTATTTTCCAAAGTAAAAGAAACAGACTTCAAAGACATGAGGAAATGATCACATGGATAACAGGGTCGTTGGTACCAAAGAGACGAGCGGGTATAAAAAAACGATCGAGGGGAAGACTTGATGATGGGGGTATAAGTCATTGGAACTATCACGCCGAAAGAGGATTTTGCACGTCCGATAATCCTTCACAAAAAATCAAAGTTTTCAAACTCATTAGGATATTTATTATTATGATTGAACCGACTTGGTGTTGGGGTATAAGTCATTAGAATCTCCAAAAAAAATGTATGTTATCAGCCCTATCCACTTTATGATTATAAATAAAAGAAATACTCTACATTTTGGAATTCTCTCGACTTGGAACACTATATATAGTCTCTTTAAAATTGTTTTCTTTTTCTGTCTAAATTGAAAGTTCTTTGATAGCTTTTCTCATATTAAATTTTGTAAAACCCATACATTTATGGTTGAAATTTTAATTATAAAAAAAATACATGCACTATCTCTCAAAATCAAGAATTTGGTTGCCTCTCTCTCTCCACACACACATGGTAAGAGAACATGATACACACATGGTATATAGAAGGATTTTGGTTCATGGTGGTAGTAGGAGGTGATATCCCAAATGAGATTTTTGAAAGAGTGGTAATGGGAACATTTTCCTTAGTAGAACTAGAGATTTACACAAAGAATCGGGGAAGGGGTGCACTTTATGATGATTAGGTTTTCGTTTCATGCAATGGCAAGTGGGTTGAAACGCTAGAAAGTAGTGGGAATGAGAAGATGTGAAATTTGGGGCAATCATAATGAGAGGGTGAGAGGTGTTGTGGCTAGAAGAATAGGGATTCGAGACGTTGGACTCTTAAATATACTATAAAAACTATGAATTAAGAAATTAATAAAATAAGTCTAAATTTGTCATTTCATAACGAGCTAAAAAAATTTCTGAGGTGTGAGCGTAGGCGAGTACCAACACTAATTGTCTAGAATTAAGTGTGGCCGACTACCCACATAATTATCTAGAATTGGAACCCGCAGATCTTATATTGTTGGAACTGGAACATAAACTGGTTATAATGGTTCCTAAAATATTGGAACCGGAACCAGAACTAGAGAGTAGCAGTTCTATGATCAGCTACCCAGTTTGTGAACTTTTTTAATATTTTTAAACTTTAAATAGTACCCTTTCATTTGATTTGAACAAAAAAACTATGCATGCAAGATCTAGAAACATAGTTTTAGAGATTGAAGTCATGGATGCTAACTAGGGATGTAAAACGTGTCTTGTCTTATCCTGTTTGTATAAGGTTGAAACTTAAATGATTAAATGAGTTGGGATAGCTTGACTCTAACCCAACCCATTTAAGTGTCTTGTCTTGTTGTGTGAACCACTTTATTTTCATGTTGAACCATGTCCTTCCACTTTAGAGGCAACCCCCTTACCACTAATTTGAACATATTTTCATGTATTATCTCTAAACGATAAAGTAGATTTTCATGTATATATTGCTAAACGATAAATTATAATCTCTACAGCAAAATAAAATAAAAATGAAGACACTGCAGATGCATGCAGTAAAAATCGAGGACCTCACCGACCAAAAGGCAATGCCTTACCCCCAGACCAACTTGGCTATTTGGTTTTGTTCCTTGGCAATTAAAATACACCGTCAATTTATTTTCAAGATGTAAAAACATCCAATAATATATAAAAAAAACATATTTAAACGTATAAAAAAATATATTTATACATATTTAAACTAATTTAGCATATTTATATGTATACATTATACATAGAAACCTTTTTAAAAGTTATAAAAATGTTATATATAAATATGTATAAAAATGTTATTTATATGTTTAAAACGTTATATATAAATATGTATTTTATCATTTGAATATGTATTTTTATAAATAAAAACATTATGTATAAAACACATTATTTATATTTATAAAAACATATAAAAACGATATATATAAACACTATATATATGTATAAATAGATTTTTTTATATGTTCAAACATATAAAAATATTTTCATAGGTTGTTGGACTTTTTTACATATAGCAAGAAATATACGATATACTTAACTGCAAGTATGAAAAAAAAGCCAAGTTGGCCTAGTGGTAAGGGGTTGCCATTTTGTATGTGACCTCTTGTGTTTGACTAACCATGCTTTTTTCATTCAATTTATTTTATTTTGTTGTAAAGCTTATATTTTATTGTTTAACAATCTATACATGAAAAATATGTCCAACTTAGTCATAAGGAGGGGGGGGGGGGGGGTGTAGTGGGTTAGAATCTCACCAATTTCTTTCTTCCCCATAACTTTGGTTTTTGGTAAAAGAAGGAACACAAGATGACGAATGTCCAACCAATGCAGCATAGGTTGAGGGTGATATGTTGTAAAAGGTAAAAACCGGCTAAAGTGCAAACTAAACAAAATTTCTTAAATATTAGATATTAATACACCAAAAATCTATCACAAAAACAGAACTTGTCAAACTAAAGAACTTTTATATCAAAAACCCTTGTATAAAATCCGCACATTTTATTATTATTTTCTATAGTTAGACTCCAAAAGGCATTTATAGGATTTAAGTCAACCATGTATACCAATTTTCGCACAACGTTTTTTTTTTCTTAAAAGAGCTAAAAACTCCAAGTTGCTCTAATTATATATAACATAACATTTAATTTGAAGTAAAAAAAAAGGTTGAAGAATATGAAAGTGTGATCTTTGTATTCGAGTTGGAGGGTTAAAAAATGTTGTATAATTGAGCATGTAGGTCACTCGAGAAAAATTATATGTATGAGTTCTGACAGATACCTAGCAGGTATCGGTTCCGAAAAAATAAGAACCGAAATTGAAACTGCTTGAGGCAGTTCTACAACTTTAAGAACCGAAATCGAAACCACTTAAGTTGTTGTGATGCGGTTGCGGTTTCGAAAACAGATATCATATTACACTGCTCACCCCTATTTTTATTAACAAGTAAAAAAGTATCAAACTAGCAATTGAGAAAACCATAAAGACCAATAGTATAACAAAACCAGACTTGACTTGAAATTTCAATTTTGTATAAACTATAAGGACCATTTACGTAGTTTATTCAATAGAAGTATAACTTTTTGGAACACCCCTTCCCGTGGGTTACAATGGTATGGAAAAAAATACATACTCCTGTATACTCCAATATGAAAACTAAGATTGTAAAAAATATTTGACGTTAGCTAATCGGTGGACTGAGGTTAATGAATTAATTGAGAACTATAAATTATTATTTCGTTGAACTTTAAAAAATTAAATATGAGTAATATCATAAAAAAAAGTTCGTAAATACTAATAATATCATAACAAAATAGATTAATATGATTAACACAACACTAATCATTTTTCAAATAGTTTCTATTAATAATTTCATCGTTTTCTACTGCTTAACTTATTATGTAGGTAAGACTAATCGGTAGGCGTCCTCTAATTATTCAGGTAGTGTCTATGGACTAATCAGAGATTAATCAGGACCTAGTCGGGATTTTTATAAAACTGATGAAAACACATTTGTAATAAACAAAATTCATTTTAATTTCTTTATTGAAAAATATAATGAACAAATACTTTTTTAATATCTTTATTTCCGCACCATTGTAGGTGTTTTTATATGGGAAATTTAACGAAAAAATCTCAAATTTTTAGAAAAAGTTTCAATAAAATCCTAAATTTTTCTTTTTCAACAAAAAAATACTATTATTTTGAGAAAATCACATAATCTGTTGTTTACTGTTCAAGTAGAAAAAAGGATTATTTTTTTCGTTAACTTTGGGAAAATTTTAAATAATCGGGATTTTTCTGTTCAAACAAAAATTAAGACTTTTTTGAAACTTTTCACAAAAATTTGAGACTTTTCTATAAATTTTCGGTTTTATATCATTTGAATTAGATTGTAGATACATAGAAGATTAGAAATATTTGGTTTGCCTTTGTTACAGGGAGGAGAGAGGACACGACATAATGCAAGTAGACTATATGATTGAACATCAACAAACAACCTTTCCTATTTTGTCATGTCCTATGTAACAATGTCATGTCCTGGGTAACAAAGTGAGCTCTAAACACTACTAAACCATCAGCCACCAATATCATGCAAAAACTGATCCCCAATAAGTTCTCGCCCCGCCTGCCGATTTTGCATATCCAAACCACCACCAACAAATCTCCTGCTCCCACCATCGGCATTCAATGGAAACGCCTCTGACAATGTGAATATGTTGTTATTCTGACATAAGCCTAGTGTCAAGGGAACACCACGATTTGCAGTCGCCTGACTGTTTACATTATGGATTGACAAATTGTTGTGAAAGTTCATCATGTGCTCATTATTTCCTTCCATGATATGTTGATTGTTATATTTATTATCACACATGAAGTCATTTCTAGTGCGCTTTGAAGGAGGTTCTTGATTCATTGGTGGATATGAAAATGAATTGCTGACACAGGAAGCTTCCTGTTGCTGGATATGTGACGATAATTTGTGGGCTTGTCTGGTTTCAAGCGTGTGCACTTCCTCTACCATAGGCTTCCATAGTCGCACTCTAGCATTTATGAACCAATTCGAAACCTGGCTAATCAACAATGTAAGAACAACAAGCGCCAATTCTCTTATTTCTTAACATGAATTTTTGTATTTTGACTACAATTTTTGATGATTTGACCTAAAATATGTTTCAATGCTGTAGTGATAGAAGACTAGCTTACCTGATTTCGAGTTAAACCTGTCTGTTTAGCCAACAACTGCTTGTCTGTGTCAGTTGGATAACTGTGCAATTTCACAAAGGAATACAATCGTTTATTCTGGGTTACGGAATATATGTACCTCAAGAAATGCATTAACGACAGATTAGCAACACAATACAATCTAAAGATTTAGTCTTTAATCCGTCATTATATGCAATGCTTAATTATTTATGCCTGATACGAACCTATGATTTTTCTTTTTGCAATATATGTATGTACATGTTTTCTTGTTTGTATCTTGGTTAACAATAACAATAAAATGACTCACGGGTGCAGAAAATGATCAAACAACCATGATCTCAAAACAGTGACTGCTCGCTTTGGGAGACCCCTTTGGGGACGCCAAACAGGCTGATGTTCAACAAATCCCATGTGACCATAATGTCCTTTCTCAAAATTTGCAGACACCATGAATTCTTTCTTTCCATAGCTTATATGAGGTTTCACTGAGAACTGTAGCTGCTCAGTTATAGCATTTTTAAGGGAATGGAAGTGCTTTGACATTGCTTTTATGTCCAAGTTTGCAAATGGAGCAGCATTACTAAGCCCGGCTACAGTTTCAAATGATGCGATTATTGTTTGGATCTGTTGGTAGTAATATTTATACATCTTGTACACCTGTTCAAAAAAAAAAGGAGTATCTTTAGATATAATCATGATCTTAGTTAAGTACCAAATTTGCTTTGAAATTACTTGTGATGGGTTTGTTTAAACTTTAACAATCTGCTTACATTTAGCATCGTTCTGGATTTACTGAATGTAATATCTCACTAAGGATATTGTGAAGAGAAAAAGGAAATATATGCAATGAAAGTGGTTTATATTCTTTACAAAAGATTTCTTTGAATCATATATTGATTCTCTTGATCCAAATTATGTGATTCAAAAACTGTTCGTAGTTTAAGTGGCATTTGGATGGTCATAGTATAATGGAAATAAGAGATAAAAAGAAATCAGAAATGAAGAAAAGAAAATAAACCATGTCTACCTTAATGGAAATAATAAACAAAAAGAAATCAGAAATGAAGAAAAGAAACAAATAGATGGACAACTTGTCTTGTTATTCTTCTAAGTTTACTTTATTCCCATTACTTTCTTTACATTTTTTGAAGTGTAGAAATGATTATTTCTTTTCAGATGTATTCTTTCCATCACTTTAAGAACAACATCAACTGATAGTGACATTGTATGCTCCATTAATGGCACTTTACGTTCAAGTGGTTTTACATATCTATATTCTCATCTATATGGAAAAGAATATTCTCCATTAAAAGCTCTTTAGCTGGTTTCAAGTGGTTTTAAAATTATATAATTTATCATCTTTATATAAAAAGTTATAAACACCTAAGTATATATATGTCCCCCCCTGCAAATTTGTAAGTTTTAGAAGTTTTAAATCATTCAACTGGAACTTCTTCCGGAAGAGAGAGAATCATTTTATTTTTCTCCTTTATCTTTTGAGCATTTAAAAAAACCACTAAACAAAGGAATCGTACTTAATTAATATAAATCTGCACTAAACAATGGAATTGTACTAATTTAAGGTATCACTAATCATATATTCAAAGGAATTCGAGTCTAGCATCTAAAGCAAGTAACTTGTATTAAATAATGCCATATGCATCATATAGTAAAGTAAGCTTAAAATCAAAGCAGAAAAATTTGAATAAAAGGTAAATAATTAAAGGTTACTTTTAAATAATTTGCGCAAGCTTTGCATATAAACAATGACTAATGCAAGAAATAACAAAATCCTTTCATTGATTATTTTATAGCATTATTTTACATTTTTTAGTAAATCATTATATTCTAACGTTTGTTAACGACGCTTTAGCTATGTTTTGGCCCACAACTAACTTATTTTTTGAGTTTTTTTAGTTTGTAATATTTGACAAAATAAAAATTAGCTGATAAGCTAGTTTTTATAAAAGGAGTATATAGAGTTTTTTTTAAAATTTTCTGTTATATACCCTTAAATATTATACTAAACATCTTTTTCAACGTACCTTTATATGTCATTTTACAATGAAGAAATTAAATATCTTTCTACTCCTATTCCTATTCCTACTTTTCTTCCTTTCTTAAAATGACGACAAATATACAAATTCAACAATCCAATCAAATTTAAATTAATCAAATTTAAATTAAATTGAATGACCCTTGTCATATCTAAAATAAGAAGGAAGTAGACACAAAAAAATATAGAAGGATATGTAATTTTTGATCCATCCTAACTTATCTACCGATTAGCTTCTCACTACCAAACATAAGCATTGTAATTTGCAATTTGAGAAAATCACCCTATCACAGTAGTGGATTCAAATCGGAAGTTAAAAACTAATAATTAATGAATTCAAATTGGAGGTTAAAAACTACCTCGTCTAGCAAACAAATTAGGGTGGATCTTTTTCTCTTGTATGCGCCACCACAACTGGGATCATCAACACTTGTTCGCAAGTTATCCAATGGAGGAGGGTCGATCAAACCACAATTAACAGGAAACTTCTCAGCGGAAAACCTAAAACCAACATCACACGTTTCATCCAACAGCTGTTTCGCCGGTTTCAAGAACTTGGAACCTTTCAAAATCGAAGCGTAGCCTGTGTACAGCCCATGGTTCATCACCGCAGTCGGGATATCATCTCCACCACCATAACTGTGCAAGTTCAACTCTACAGGAGGAGGAGTTCCGTTGTGGGTATACTGCGACGAGAGAGATAAAGCAACAAAATCTCCGCCATGAAATGGAGACTGATCATGATGTTGAATGAACCTAAGGTCTTGATGTCTGTAAAAGAAATTACAATGATCGTTACCTGGATCACGGACAGACTGTAGATCCGACGATTCATTACTAATGTTATCCATAATTGCTCTCGCAGTCCTATAATCACTGGCATTGCTACTATCAGAAGCCATTAATGAGGATTTGATATTGGCGCAGGCTAACAAATTCTGGGAAGATTGATCATATAAAGGGAGTATCCCTAAACCTGCGCACCCTTGCAGATCACTGGTGTGATGGTTCTGGAGGACCACTCTCAGTTTATCCCTTCTGCTTTGCTGTGGGATGTGACACAGTTCAAAACCCTCCGCCATCAGAGAGAGGGAAACAGGGAAATAGTGAGAGGGGGTTAAAGATGAGGTGGTGTTGTCCGAGAGAGAAACAGTAAGCAGAGGGGTCGTGTGTCGTAGGCGAAACAGTCAGGGTAAACGATGTCAGTGGTGATAGCAGCCAGGCCTGCTAGCTAGTTAGTACTGTTGCTAGAATCTATCTAGTAACCTACGAGAGACTGGTTTCGTCCGTGTGGGGAAGTATTTGGGGAGTTTACATAGAGAAACAAGACTACAAGAGTAATGTGACTTCGTTTTCTTTGTGTGTGTGTGGTGGATCCTCGGGATCATTAAATGAAATTTTGGGTTTTTTTCTAAATCTTGACTATATTACAGAAATGATCCATCTATTATAGCTAAATTCGCGGTTTAAATCCAAGTCTCAAAACTTTGACACTATAATCCTTTTAGCTAATACCTAACACCGTTAAATCAATGATAAATGATAAATTTATCATTTTTTATATTAATCTTACTTTATATTTTATCTTTTTATTGTTTTTTTATTGATATAAAAAGGATGGCCCAACCCACTCACAACCACCTTGTTGACCATGTTCGACCATCATTATCCATCACACCACATCTATCAACCCGAAAAAGTTTCAACTCCGCCACCACCAAAAACTATATTTTACATCACCTTTATATTTGTAACATCAAATTTTTTAAGCTATAATTTTTTAGTAAATTAAAAAAAAAACTTAGTTAAATAAAATATAAATAATAAATAATAAAGTTAGAATGACATGAATCATAAAAATGATTCACAATAATAGTGTAAATGGTAGTTGGAGAAGTTAAAGGTTGAAATTATAACATTTTAAAGATAAGAACTAAAAGTATAAAATAATGAAAGATTTTACCAAAAAGTTATTCAATTGAAATTTGGACCATTATATTCATGAAATCGATGGAGTATATCTAAAAGAGTTAACTCGCAAAGTCTAAAAGCTATTAGCCAAGAATGAGGCTTTTTGCAAATAAATAAATAAATAAAACACGTCAAGTTAATAACAAATGGGTTGACTTTGACTTAACTAGTTTTGGACTAGAATCAGTATGGCCATGTTGGAGAGGGTCTTGGAGTGTAAGTTTCCTAAGTGTGAGTTACTAGTAATTGACATGGTGTCTATTTTGCAAAGTATGAAAGCTTTTTGTTCAAAACTAGAAGTTAGAACTTGAAATAAGATGGACACTGTAATGACCTAAAATTTTCTATTCCGTTATCAAGGTTTGTTTTTCTGTTATCTATTATTGTTGAGTTACTTTTTCATGGTTAAAGTCAACTTTTAGGAGCTAAAGTGTAAGAAAATGATACTTGATCATATATATGGGTCATATATGGGGTCATTTTCTCATACTTAAGGGGCCTAAATTGAAAGTTAACAAGTATTTAAGTCACCATAAACGTATAATTTTGGATTTAACCCTACTTGTCATCCTCATCTCTACTTTGAAGTGTGTTCTTGGATTTCTTTATGTTAAGAAGAAAAGTAGATACCTAAGAAAACTATAAGCACACAAGACATAATATTTATGTGGTTCGGTCAAGGTGACCTATGTCCACGGGCAGGAGGGGAGTATTCTTTTATTTCAAAGCTCTCAAACAGAGGTTACAAGTACAATTACACAGAGATTTGTCTATCACTCTAGAATTCAAGATACAAAATAACCTAGCATGCATCCCTATTTATACTTGAGGGATCAGATTAAAACCCTAATGGGCCAAGCCCATTGGCCCATAGGCCCATGAATGGAGACAACCAATCATATTCCACCATGCAGCATCTTCTGGAACAATCTTGAGCATCACAGAGGACTTAATAGCATACTTGGCTCATCAAGGACCAAGATTGTCCAACGTGCACCATGATGGCGCAACAAGTGTATGGATGGCGCAGCAGGCTTCAAGTGTAGCACAATAACATCAAGATTGGAGCAACAACACCACCTTGGCGCAACAGGAACATACATGGCACAACAAGGCCGTGCATGGCACAAGAGCATACTTCACGGCTCAGCAGGAGTACCCTATGGCGCAAGAGGGATCCTCATGGCGCAATAGGAACCCATCATGGCGCAAGAGGGATCATAATGGTGCAAGAAGGAATGCCATTGGCGCAACATCATCCTTCTTGGTCCACCCCTTCAACATATGGCGCAACAAGGTTCCCTTGTTGCTCTATATCACTCCCAAGTGCTCCAAACCTCTTCTAGGTGCTCCAAACCCCCTTATGTATGATCCGTTCCTTTACACTTGATCCGTTCCTTTGTCAGACGATCCATTCCTTTCTCAGATGATTCGTTCCTTTGTCACGTGCTCCATGAACCCTAAGTGCTCCATCGAGTTCCAAGTGCTCTAAATTCTCCATAAACATGATCCAAATGCTCGAGTCACAACATCCTCTGAACTCCACCTCAAAGAAGAACTTTGTCTCCCTTCCGGTCATTCGTCCCCGAAGGGACCTACCTCCTGCGAACATCAACCAAGTCCAAGAAAAGCTTGAACTTCTCTATGGGAAATGACTTTGTCAACATATATGCTGGGTTGATCTTGGTATCAATCTTCAGTATTGAAAACTCGTCTCCTTCCAAAATATCCCGAATGAAAGTCAACCTGACATCAATGTGCTTCGTCTTCTCGTGATACACAAGGTTCTTTGCAAGACTCAAGGCACTTTGACTGTTACAATACAAGATAGGCTTCTCCACCTTCAGACCAAGACTATAAATAAGCCTTTGCAACCATATCTCCTCATTTATTCCTTCGGTCATGAATATGTACTCGGATTCATTTGTAGACAAAGCAACAGTATCTTGTAACGTTGACTTCCAACTGATTTCACATCCGAATAAAGTGAATATGTAGCAAGTCCGTGACCTGCGCTTCAACAAGTCACCACCATAATTAGAGTCAGCATATCTTACCAAGTCACTCTCCGTATTTTCTCCATACACCAAGAAAACATTCGTCGTTCCCTTCAAGTATCGCAAGATCCACTTTACAACTTCCCAATGAGTCTTCCCTGGATTACTCATAAACCTGATAACCACACTAACTACATGAGCCAAATCAGGTCTGGTACAGACCATAGCACACATGAGACTTCCAATAGCACTTAAGTATGGAACCCTGCTCATAAACTTCCTTTCTTCATTAGTAGTGGGTATAGTGCTTGGACCAAGTTTAAAGTAAGCCGCAAAGGAGTTCCAACTGGATTGGATTGATCATAATTGAAGGATTACAGAACTTTCTCAATGTGCTTTTGTTGAGAAATACATAACCGCACTGATCTTCTGTCCCTTTGAATCTCCTTCCCTAATATTTTCTTTGCTGCTCCCAAATCCTTCATCTCAAACTTATTCTTCAGGGTCGCCTTCAAGTCATTTATTCCAGCCATGTCTTTAGTTGTGATGAGCATATTATCAACATATAACAACAAATATATGTACGAATCTGGTGACAATTCCTTTGAGTAAGCACAATTGTCGAACTGGTTCCGAGTGTAGCCATTCGAGATCATGAATGAATCAAATCTCTTGTACCCTTGTGTAGGAGACTGTTTCAACCCATATATGGATTTCTTCAGCAAACATACATGATCCTTCTTAGAATCAAGGAACCCTTCTGGATAGGACATATAAATCTTCTCTTCTAAGTTCCCATGAAGAAATGTAGTTTTCACATCAAGTTGTTCAATCTCCAGATCCAATGTCACTGAGGATCTTCTAAGTTCCCTTGTGATAATCAATTCCTTCTTTCTGAGAAAACCCTTTTGCCACCAACCTTGCATTGAACCTAGCTAGTTCAACTCCTGGTATCTCTTCCTTCATCTTAAAGATCTATTTGCATCCCACTGGCTTTGCTTCTTTTGGTAATGGAACAAGATCCCATGTTTCATTATTCTCTAAAGATTACATTTCTTCATTCATGGCCATCAACCAGTCATTTTCTTCTTTACTCGCCACAACCTCCTTGTATGATTGAGGATCCTCAGTGACAATATCTTCTCCAGTTGCTAAAGCAAAAGCAATGGAGTCAAGTTCACCTGAATTCACACATCCCACATATCTATCAGGTTGTCGAATGACACTCTTTAATCTTCTCTTTTCTATATATTCAGACATATCATCCTTCCCAACATCAGCACGACTGGACGAAGATCCCATGGGTTGCTGTTGGGTTTCATCTTGTCCAGGCTGTTCACTGTCGCCTTGCTCTTTTTCACTTATCACAACTTTGTCTGGAGCTTGAGTTACAAATTCCATCTTCTACCTCTTCCCTGGTTACCCATGACAGATTCATCAAAGGTCACATCTCTACTCATGATAAATTTAGGAGTTCTACCTTCTTCTGTACACCACAGTTGATAACCTTTTACTCTTGTCGTATATTGTAACATTCAAAAAATTTCATAAAAATTTAAACTTTTCAAAACAACCAAAATCATAATTGTTTACATTATAGTTTTCAAAACATGTTTATCATCAGATTTTTCCCAAAATCACAAAACATAACATGAGGAAGTGCACGATCACGCCTTCGCCTTTCCACGATCCTCTTAGGTACCTGAAACATAATCCAAATCTATAAGCCCAAAGCTTAGTGAGTTTCCCCCAAAGTACCAACACAACACAAAACCAGAATTGTAACGACTCAAATTTTCAAATAAAATTTTCATTTTAATTAACCAAAACATTCTCGTAAAATATTAAGTCTCAATGACAATCGTTTTCAAAATCCATAACATCAACATTTTATTTCAAATATCAGAGTGTCCGACCAAAACAAATGTCGAAGAGTGCATGTCGCGCCATCAAGCATTACCCTTGACCTTAGGCTCAGATGTACCTGAAACAAATCCACAAAATGTAAGCTAATGCTTATTGAGTTCCCCAGAGCATACTCCACACAGTCCACATAATCACATATACCATATCAGCTATAAAAGCTTCATAAACCACGTAAGCCATGCATACAACATATAAGGATGCCATGGAAACCCTCCAAGGTCTTACAACTAGTGCTACTGGAACCCCCACGTGGTCTTAACTACCTGCCATGGGAACCCCCACATGGTTTTCCTGTCATGGGAACCCCCACATGGTCTTCCTACAGTGGGAACCCCCCACACGGTCTTTACTACCAAGAAATAACATACAAGCTACACATGAAAATATACTAGGATGCCATGGAAACCCTCCAAGGTCTTACACATAAGTGCCTCGGGGAACCCCCCGAGGTCTTTCA